CTGCAGGGGCGGCTGCTCCAGGGGCCAGGGGCGGCTGCTGCAGGGGCGGCTGCTCCAGGGGCCAGGGGCGGCTGCTGCAGAGGCAGCTGCTCCAGGGGCCAGGGGCGGCTGCTGCAGAGGCAGCTGCTCCAGGGGCCAGGGGCGGCTGCTGCAGGGGCGGCTGCTCCAGGGGCAGGGGCGGCTGCTCCTACAGCAAGCAAAGTAGCAGCAGCTGCAGCAAGTAGCAGCAGTGGCAGCAAGTAGAAGCAGCTGCAGCAAGTAGCAGCAGTGGCAGCAAGTAGAAGCAGTAGGTCAGGGCGGCGTGGCTTGGGCAGGTAGGGCGGCGCAACGGCAGGCCTATGCACGGTGCGCGGCGGCGCCGTAGGGTGCAGCTGCGCGCAGGCCGCAGCTGGGTTCGTGCTGCAGCGAAGCGCGAGCTGCAGCCAAGCGCGAGCTGCAGTTAAGTACGAGCTGCAGCAGCCTACACGCGATCGTCACTGCGCGCGGGCTGCGACCTGCGGGCGGGCGGCGGTGGGTCGAGCGCCGTCCCAGGGGCGAGCGGTCGAGTGTGGGCTGCAGTCGCGCGCGGGCGGCAGCCTACGAAGCAGGGGCGGCGGCCTACGGGCGACCCGGGCTGCGTCGCGCTGGAAGGCCAGCCGAGCCGGTCGACGGGCGGCTAGCGGGCTGCTCGTGGGCGGGGCTAGTCGCGCGGGCGGCCTACGGTCGTCGTGCGCGCGATTCGGGCCGCGCGCGGGCTGCTGGCAGGCTGCTCGCGCTAGAAAAAAGAAAAGGGGCCACGCGCGGGCGGCTAGCGAGCTGCGCATGGGCAGCGTGAGAGAGAGAGAGAGGCGCACGAGGGCGCCTCTAGCGGAATGGTGGGCCCTTAGGTAAGTGGTCCTAGGTCTAGAACCTAAGCTCTTAATACCATCTCAGAATAGTGTGAAGGTATATGGTGGATTAGGGTTTGGAGGGTGGTACAAACAAGTGTCGAGCAAGTTTCTGTACCCCCTAAGGCTAAACCCACTACAGCCTACATAATATTAAACATATAATTTGACATCTTCGATGTGTCCCTGTTGAATAAATACGTTGTAGAGGGTAAGTAGTTGTTACAATCAAACCAAACAACAAAGCAACCATACAATCAACTTACGGTGGTTGTGTTTTCCCAACCAAACAAAGATGCCACATGGGCTCCAAGCCTATTAGCTCCCCAACCATGGAAGCCATGGTTGGGAAGAGCCCCAAGGGGTATTGTGGAAGGGGTTGGAGCCCTCAAGCTCTTTCCCACTTCCCAACTCCAACTTACGAATTTGGAAATGGGATTTCTCTAAGTCATTTTCACTCTCCTAACAAGCTCTCCTGCATAACTAGAGCGGTGTTCAAGGACAGCCTCTACAGGAAGCGACCTACCTACTCAAGCTTCATCAACAACCATATCAAGTTCTCCTCTCAAATTCCTATTATAACTTCAATAGAATATCCCTTGGTGGGATTAGTTTAATCATGAAAGCCTTGTATCTTCATTTTATAAAAATTGTCAAGGATTTATTTTAAACACACGGTTACCGTTGTTATAAAGGCCGTGGTTGTTACATCACCTGCCACTGTGCGGCGGGCTGAGGCGATGTGCGTGTGTGATTGCGCGTTGCGCCGCCAAGGCAGCTTCGGCGCTGCAGCGGCGTGAGAACGTCTGGAGGATGAATGTGGTGGGATTTGTCAGAATGAGGAATGGATGATGCATTGATGTTGGTTGGGGTACATATAGCTAACCCTAAGTTTTGTACCCCCTAAGACAAACCTCACTATAGGCTACAACATTTGACACACCCCCATAGCCTAAGTGAGGGGTGTCTAGCAGAACCAAACGAGTACGGTCACAAGACCAGTCCAAGAAACGAAGCTCAGGGTGGATCACAACGTCACCACACAGTCTGAGCACAAACAACAGTGGCCACAAGGCCAGTCCAAGAAGTAACAGAGGTATATAGAAAGCAAAGTAAACAGTACACTCAAGCCTAAGCAACACGAGAACCAGTGTCAACAAGGCCTAACTGCACACAGCACCTCTGGTGGTCACAAGGCGGAAGCGCCTTGGTGAAGATGTCTGCAGTGTTGGCCTCGGACTCCACAAACTCAAAGCGAGCCTGTCCACGCCTCTGCAACTCTCGCAGAAGAAAGTACCTGACGTGAATGTGCTTCACTCTGCTCTCCAGTCGTGGCTCTCGACAAAGGAGAATAGACGCCTTGTTGTCAGTGAACAAGGTCGGTGCAGAGCTCGGCCGCTCACCAAGGTCGGTGAGCAAGAAGGTCAACCAACGCAGCTCCTGTGCCGCCATGGCACCAGCGTAGATCTCAGCCTCAGCTGTAGAGGTCGAGACCGAAGAGGAGCGCGTGGACCGCCAGGAAACAGCTCCAGAACCCAGGCTGAAACAGTACCCCTGAGTAGACCTGTGAGTCTCAGCGTCGTCAGCGTAAGAGGAGTCACAGTGACCAGTAAGTACGACAGACTGCTGCCCTCCAAGAACTAGCCCCACGCCTGACGTCGTCGCTAGGTACTTCGCCACCCTCACAGCTGCTGTCCAGTGAACAGGACGGTGTCTCCCTGGCGCAACAAAGCGCGCAAGAACGCTGAGAGGGAAGGCGAGGTCCGGGCGAGTACAAGTCATCAGGTACATGAGGCAACCCACAAGCTCTGCGTAGGGACCACTAGGCTCGAACGGCTCGTCAGGAAAGGGTCCCGTCAGTCTGTGGTCAACAGCAAGAGGTGTGCGCTGTACTGTGGAGTGCTGAAGCCCGAACCGCTGAAGGACCTGCTGCACCATGTGCGACTGTGAAAGTGTAATGGTGCGAGCAGCTCTGTCCCTGGTGATCTGCAGGCCAAGGTAGTGGCGCAGCTCACCAAGATCAGTGCAGGTGTGTCTCTTCTGCAGTTCGGACTTCACGTGTGCCAAAGCAACCCTGTCAGGGGTGGCGAAAACAAGGTCGTCAACGTAGACCAGAACAAAGAAAGGTGTGGGGCCACGACGAACGAACAGCGACGGGTCAGCAGAAGACGGCTGGAACCCAAGGTCAGACAGGGTAGAACGCAGGGTGTCGTGCCACTCACGAGGAGCCTGACGAAGACCGTAAACCGGTCGCCTCAGCCTCCACTGGGTCCCAGGAGGGAAAGAGCCAGTGAAGGCAGAGGGACGACGCAACCAGACCTCCTCGTGAAGACTGCCCTGAAGGAAAGCAGTAGAGAAGTCGAGAGAGTGTAACTCGTAGTCTCTCTGTGCTGCTACGTGTAGTAACACCCGAAGAGTGGTCATCTTCGGGGTGGGCGCGAAGGTCTGAAAGAAGTCAACTCCCTCGCGCTGACTGAAACCTCTAGCCACGTAGCGCGCCTTGAAGACCGGAGGAGATCCCGGTGGCCGCTTCACCCTGTAGATCCACATGCCGTCGACTACGTTCGCCCCCGGAGGGGGAACCTCATCGACGTAGGTGCCTGTGGATCTGTAGGAGGCCATCTCTGCGTCCATGGCAGCTCTCCACTGAGAGGCCCAAGGCCCTGACACTGCCTCAGCGTAAGTGCGAGGAGTCGGAATGTCAAGGGCGTCGGGGTCACCCTCAGGGGCGAGGAGCATGGCACAGAGATGAGGGGAAGCGGCCGCCAGGAACTCTAGCTCAAACTGCCTGTCCTCTAGGGCGTCACAGCCAAGGGCAGACACACCCCCGACGGCTAGAGGACTGGAAGGAGGAGCTGCCACAAGAGCGGTGGCGAAGTCAAGGCGGCGGGTAGAGGCAAACTCAGTGACTGCGGCAGTAAGAGCGGACACAGAGGACACAGAGGCACGAGGGTGGGTAACAAGAGAGGCGAGAACACGAGAGAGAACAGGACGGTACGTGCGGTAGTAGTCAGTGACAGGAGAAGGAAGCGACACGAGGTCTGCCGTCAGCGTCGAAACGAAGAACTCGCGGAGTCGCCATAGCGAAAACTAACGCGAACGAGCAGGCGAGTAACAGTAGGAGGTAAGAGGCAAATTAGGGTTCAGGTGGGACTTAGTCGCAGCGGAAGAGCGGGCTAGAGCGACGGGCCAGGGCGTAGGGTCGACGGGACGGGGGAAAGGGCGGGCACGATGCGACGGGGCAGGGCGACGCGACGGGGGAGGGCGACGCGACGGGGTAGGGAGACGGGACGGGGCGGCGGGACGGGGCAGGGCGACGGGACGGGACGGGGACGGGACGGGGCAGGGGCGACGGGACGGGACGGGGCGACGGGACGGGACGGGGCAGGGCCGCGGGACGGGACGGGACGGGGACGGGACGGGGCAGGGGCGACGGGACGGGACGGGGACGGGACGGGGCAGGGGCGACGGGACGGGACGGGGCGACGGGACGGGACGGGGCAGGGCGACGGGACGGGGCAGGGGCAACGGGACGGGGCAGGGCGACGTGACGGGGGGAAAGGGCGCGACGCGACGGGGGGAAAGGGCGCGACTCGACGGGGGGGAACGGGCGCGACGCAACGGGGGAAAAGGGCGCGACGTGACGGGGGGGAAAGGGCGCTAGGCGACGGGGGGAAGGGCGCTAGGCTCGGCACTAGGCGCGGTAACAACGGAACCGGTACGAACGAGAGGTAGGATCAGGCTCGGGAGATACGAACGGAGAACGGAGGAACGGGATCCCACAGGATCCTAACCTAACTGATACCATGTCAGAATGAGGAATGGATGATGCATTGATGTTGGTTGGGGTACATATAGCTAACCCTAAGTTTTGTACCCCCTAAGACAAACCTCACTATAGGCTACAACATTTGACAGGATTCTGGGGGATGAAGAGATGCACGATGGCATTGAGTGTTGCACTTAGAGCTACCTCACAGTCTTTTTGCTCAGAAGCTAGCACAGAATTGTTACAACAATCTCTGCACCTTTAGCAATATGTGTTTGTGTGAGCTACAGCACTGGCACATTTTATACACAACACAACTTGCTTTATTGATACTCCTCAATACCGTCACCATCTGTAAGCAAGTGCTACCAGCTAGCAGCAAGTGTAGGTGCAGAGAGAGCAAGCGTCTTGGGGCGAGCATGGAAGGAGGTGTGCAGCACAGCTTGTGCAGAGGGGGAGAGAGGGGAGCCCAGGAACTGCGAGTAGATCTGCTGGGCTAGCGGATTGGCAAATGGGCTGCGTGTTTCCACCTGCAATTGAAACAGTAGAGGTTGGTGCAGGGGGGAACACGCGGGACAGGGGGGGGTGCAGCGGGGTGCAGCAGGGGGGTGCAAGGAAATGTGAGTGAGGTGAGAAGATAGAGAGGAAAGGAGTCATGAGAATGAGCATGAGACGCACATGTGCATGTGGAACTTGAAGCAATAACCAAAGAGCGTAAGGTCAAGCAAAGCCCAAGGGACGGGGAATATGCATGTCACATGTGCATGGTCAAAAGAGATTGAGGAGCAGTGTGTGACCTGAGCCATGCAGTGCGCCCTCACCTGAGCCATGTAGTGCGCCCTCACCTGCGCCATGTAGTGCGCCCTCACCTGCGCCATGTAGTGCGCCCTCACCTGCGCCATGTAGTGCGCCCTCACCTGCGCCATGTAGTGCGCCTCCAGGTCCTGCAGGTAGCTCCTCGTGGGCTGCGCCTTGCGCTGCTCTGGTGGGCGCTGCCCCCCTCCATTCAGACACCCTGCAGTGCCACGCCATGCACCCCACACGCCCCATGCTCCCCACATGCCCCATGCACCCCACACGCCCCGTGTACCCCATGCCACGCACACAGCTTTGCACCATGAGAAACACAGCTGTGTGTTGGAACAAACCACATCAAGTGGTGAAAGCAACAAAATGAGCATGAAGACCACTACCTTCCCTTCAACCCCCCCCCATACTCTCCCCTCAAACTGCGCTTCTATGCTCCTGCACCTCCAGCTCCCCTGTGCCTTTCCCCCAGCTCTCACTTGTCACCGACACGGCAAGCCATTACCATTTCTAGTGTTACGAGTTGACTTATCAGTCTACTCAGGTGTCAACTTCTAACCCTCTCACCTCCCTCACCTCCATTCCGACTGAGAAGCCTCCTCCCCGTGCCTCACCTCCAGACCAGGGCAAGACATGACCTGTACACAATGGTACGGTGTGACTTCTGATTCACAGCCCACTCAACACCTTTACCTCCATCCCCCCTGTTCTCCACCACTCCCATCACCTTCAGCGCCAGCCATGACCTCCACATAGTGGCACGGGCGAGTTCTATGCCGCCTAAAGAGTCACCTCTGGCCTTCACCCCACCCTCCCCATTTCCAATCACCCCCCCTTACCCCCTGTTCTCCATCCCTCCCTCTCATCTCCAGCGCAAGCCATGACCGCCACAAGCGATATGGGGAAACCTCCAATGGAACTCGCAAGTCACCTTCTGCCCCTCCTTCACCCTCACTGCTGCCCCCCTTGTTGGCCAACCCCCCCTCCCGCTCACCTCCCGGGCAGGCCATGACCTCGACGTAGTGGTAGGGGCAGCGGCCCTGCTTGGCACGGCGCAGCACGTTCTGGATGTTGCGGAAGCCGTAGGCGCACGCCACGCGCAGCACGGGCTGCCCGCCCACCGCCACGCTGCACTCGCGCATGTCCGCGTTGCGCACCGCCTGCCACTCCAGCGCGCCCGGGGCACGTGCACGCCGAACAGCTCGAGTGCTGCGTAGCGCAGAATGGCCTCTGCGTACCCGCCTGACCCGCCCGCCACGCCGTAGAGATGCCCGCTGGCATCCACGTTGGTGAGCCTTGGGGGTGGGGAGGAGGGAGACGCATGACAACGGGTGGATGAAGTAGTGTGGGCAGGGAAGGTTGATGAAGCAGAGCGAGGGATGGTGGATGAAGAATGGAGAGGGTAAGGGATGGACGGCGAAGGTGATTGTGCAGGCGGATGCCAGGGGTATGTGGAGACAGTATGGGGAATGACGGAAAGAGGACGAGGGGATTGGGAGAGGCAGCAATTCTGAACGTATGTGGACAGCGAAAGGAGGTCAATGGAGTGGAGAAGAGTGGAGGGTGAGGGGCAGCTGACAGTGGATGGGGCGAGCGTGAGATGGGACAGCATGGCAGGGATGCATTGACATGTTACATCATCAATGAACATCCCACAGTGAAACTTGAGGCATGGTAGCATGGCATGGTGGCATGGCATGGCGGCATACATGGAGTCGAGAGGATGCTCTTCGAGAGCCATGAAGTCCACTCCTTGCTCCTGCTCGCATGCACCACGGCACAGACATGCGCGCAAAGTGGGCAGCCATGCACCCAGGGGTGGGGGCACCAAGGGGGGTGAAGGCACACAGCAATGAGGGAAGAACATGTGGGCTCTGGGGGGCTAAGCAGGCAGCACGGGAGCAATGCAAGCGAGACAACAGGCAGACACAGAAGCAGAAATCCCAACACCCTCCTCACAGCGCACCTGCAGCAGAGCGAAGATCTCCCCTGACGTCAGCACACAGTCCACCTCTGTCAACCGCTCCCCATCGCCCTCAGCATCTCGAGAATTCTCTCCCCCGTCCTGTGCGCCCCCCTGCGCCCCTTGAGGCAGCAGGAAGTCGTCCCTGGCGGCCTCAAGCTTCTTGTCGTAGCACGGCATCACTGCCACGTGGTACAGCTGCTCCGGCCTGGTGGGGCAATGAAGGAGTGGGGGGGGAGTACAGGGCAAGAACGAGGAGAAGGAAAGGGAGAAGCAGCAGGGAATCACTGCCACGTGGTACAGGTGCTCCGGGCTGGTGGGGCAGAGGGGGGAGGAAGCCAATTCTGTAGTCGACTCAAGGGTTCTGAAGTCCAGGGCTCTTTTGAGTCGACTGAAAAGTCACCTAAGTCCAGGGCTCAATCGCCACTTCCATCTTCTCGTCGTAGCAGGGCATCCTGCCACCACGTGGTACAACAGCTCTGGGCTGAGCAGGGGAGAGGGCAGAGGGGGAGGGGAGAGGGGAGAGGGGAGAGGGGAGAGGGGAGAGGGGAGAGGGGAGAGGGGAGAGGGGAGAGGGGAGAGGGGAGAGGGGAGAGGGGAGAGGGGAGAGGGGAGAGGGGAGAGGGGAGAGGGGAGAGGGGAGAGGGGAGAGGGGAGAGGGGAGAGGGGAGAGGGGAGAGGGGAGAGGGGAGAGGGGAGGGAGGGGGAGAGAGGGGAGAGGGGAGGGGAGAGAGGAGAGAGCCATGAGAGGAGGTAGGACGTGAAGGCTGAAGAGGAGGAAATGCGGGAGAAAGGAGAAATGGGAGGAGAAGGGTTGATGGGAAACAAGCAGCAAGAGTGAGGCAAGAAGGAGTGCAGTAGGGAATGGCTTGACAAGCAGTTGTGTGTTGTGGGTGGTGGAAGAGAAGAAGGGCGAGTGAGTGCCCTCTCGGTCACTGTGGTGCATCCAAGATGGCGTACACCTGTGCGTGCCATGCCATGCCGCGTACCTCGTTCCCTCTCATCGCATCTTTTACCCCTTGGTTTCGATGCCCCGCTCGTCGCCCCTCTTACCCACGGCTGCAGCGAGGGGCATGAGATGCATGGCGGCACGACTCACGTGGTGTTGAGCCGGGAGGCGTAGAAGCGTTTGAGCAGCGCGCCCATGGTCTGCTGGGCGCTCTTCACTCGGCTCATGTGCGGCAGGATGTAGTCCCCATGGGCTTTCTCCGCGTAGCACACCCACCCTGCCTCCCTCATGGGCGCAAGCACAGACACGCATATGGGAACGGATGGCAAAGCAGTGGAGAGGGACATGCACAGATGATTGCAAGCACAGCACATGGGCACACGCATGCTCTGGTGCACATGGTCGCACAGGAATGGTAAAGGTGGGAAGAGAGAGCGAGCGAGAGGCAGTCCCTCTCCCCTTGGGTCTGTAGAGAAAGCACGCCCGCACCAGCTATTGGCTGGCTGTGCCACGAGGCATACCGGGGCAAGCAGAGGCGAGCACAGGCAGGTGCGGCAGCGAGTCAGTGGGGATGGGCGGCGGTGTGGCATTGGGAGGGGCGGACTGGCCACACTCTTGTGCTGCCTCCGCACTGCTTTCTCGTCCTCCTGCTTCTGCTGCTTCTGTTGCTGCTGCTGAACCTGCAGCTGGTACCATGTCTGATGGTGCTGATGGTGTTGCTCCTGCGGCTGCATGGTCATCGAAGGATGCATGCGGCATAGCAGCGTGGCCACTGACAGACCCGTTCATGCTGCCCGCAGAAGCAGAGGTATCGGTGGTGGTGGCATGGGCAGCAGAGCGGCGGCGGAAGGCGCAGACGAACTCGTGGCAGGCCTCGATGAGCGCCACGTCCCTCGATGCACTTGTGTCAAACACCGCTGCCACGCCCAGTGAATGCAGGAACGATGTCAGCTTGCGGAAGGCCTGTGTGGGGGAGGGAAGGGGGGGAGGTTGGGGGGGGGCATGCTATGCACTCGTGTCAACCACTGCTGCCACGCCCAGCCCGTGCAGGAACTACAGCAGTTAAGATATTTATGGATATGCGAGGAGGAGGATAGGAGGCGAGCATGCAGGTGCAGAGAGCGGGCAATAGTGGCACAAGGTGGATACATCTGCGTGCGCAGGCGGCCCCCTACGGCAGCCACCGGACCTCGCACTTTCCCCTCGCCTTCTCGCTGTCCTCTCCACACCTGCATGCGCGCCCCCCTACGCGAGTCGCACCTGCAGGGGAGTGATCTTATAGTGGGCCGCCAGCGCCGCCCGCGACTGCGGTGATAGCGACACCACCACCACCTTGCGCCCTTGCTCCCCATGCCCCGTCTGCCCTGCGCTATCCGCGTGGGTGCGTGGGTGCGGCAGGTGCTGCAGCATGTGGTGCGCGCTCTGCTGCTCCAGCATCACCGTCTCCGCCGTCGTCACGCATCCACTGCCATGCCGCGCAGGGGAGGCGCGCGGGGAGGGGAAGGGAGGGGGAAAGAAGGGAGCAGCGCGTGAGTGAGAGTCAGGGGGTGTATGGAGCGAGCAGCACAAGGGTGGCAAGCTGACGAGCGCAAAGGCTACCATGCTACGAGCACCGTGGAGCCACAAGCAGCAGCGGCGCCGCACACCTGCACGCGAGGCAGTCGTGCAGAGTGACCTTCACCGCCTCGCCCTCGCGCCCTTGCCTCGCCTGCTCGAATCCCCCTCCGCCCGTTCCCCGCAGCTGCACCTCCCCCGCTGCGCCCACACCCTGCAGCGCGCCCGCGCATAAGGGATTCGGGGGGGGAGAGCGGGAGGGAGAAAGACGTGAGGAGGACGGGAGAAGGTGACGAACGGGACAGGAGAGGAGAAGGATCCATGATGCACCATTGCGGAGATGCACACATGCGCCGGTGAATCAATCGATCTATCACCAAGCCCGCTCCTTCGCCCCTCCCGTCTCACCTCTTCCCCACCCACGCGTTTCCCCTGCGCGGTGACGACGCATGCCTGCGACGGCGCGATAAAGTCGTTCAGGTCCGTTAGTCGCAGCGCCGCCGAGAAATTCGACATCGCCAAGATTTACGGACGACGTGCTGCACAGAGCAGGCCTGGGAACTAGCTGCGCAGAGGCGATTGTTCTTATAAAGCAACGCTCATGCAGATCGGTGTCTTCTTGCTACATACTTAAGCTTTAATTTGGTTATTCCAAATCATAGTTTTGCAACCCTTAGATGTCATGAATTATCCTGTAAATTATTTTCATTGTCCGCTGTTGTAGCGCAATGACATATTATAGAGTATTGAGTAGAAAATTGCTAATATATATGGTAGCTTTAACCGCACAGAGTCTGTAAGGATTTACTATAAATTAGTGCTGTAGCTTTTTAGCGAATACAGTTCCGATAAGTTCGCGGAAACTGGTTCGGCTTTCAAACTCGCCCCAAACCACCCCCGAGTCGCCCCCGCACTTTTCGCCACTTCCGAGCCTCGTTTTCCCGTGGTTCTCGCCTAGCTAGGGTTTCCCCCATATCATCCCGTCATTTCAATTGTATCGTCACTCTAATTCCGCGTACTATCTGCAATAGTGAGCCCGCTCCTAGGGATTAGCTTCACGCTCGTGGCGAGCACGGCAGCGGATCGCAAACGCCATGGGGAACAGCAGGCAGTGCGTCTTCTGATTGAAGAACCAGCAACAAGCTTAGTAGTTACGATAGACTTGGCCAGTTTCTTGGCCAGTCACGGTGGCAGCGGCGTCGCGCGGTGCTCGTCGGTGCTGCTCGCCTCGCCTGGCGTGCGCCCACCGCCCTTCCGCCAGGCGCGCCTGCAGCCGCCTGGGCGGAACTGAAGCGGCAGGTGCGCGTGACGAGGCGGGTGAAATACGCGCATTCACGCGCGAGCACCGTTGGCGGCCCCACCACTGGTGGAGGGTTGCGCGGGACGGTGGCACGGCGTGATGCGCGGTGGTACGGGAAATAGCAGGCGGACATAGGGACGGGAAAAAGGCAGGCGGAAATAGGGACGGGAAATAGGCAGGCGGAAATAGGGACGGGAAATAGGCAGGCGATAGGGACGGGAAATAGGCAGGCGGAAATAGGGACGGGAAATAGGCGGGCGGAAATAGGGACGGGAAATAGGCAGGCAGAAATAGGGGAAATAGGCATTCGGAAATAGGGACGGGAAAATAGGCAGGCGGAAATAGGGACGGGAAAAAGGCAGGCGGAAATAGGGACGGGAAATAGGCAGGCGATAGGGACGGGAAATAGGCAGGCGGAAATAGGGACGGGAAATAGGCAGGCGGAAATAGGGACGGGAAATAGGCAGGCAGAAATAGGGGAAATAGGCATTCGGAAATAGGGACGGGAAAATAGGCAGGCGGAAATACTAAGGACGATGGAAGTATGCACGACGAGAGTAGGTACGGGGAGAGTAGGGACGGGGAGTATAGGGACGGAGAGAAGAGAATAGGGACGGGGAGAGTGGGGACGGGGAGAGTAGGGACGGGGGAGTAAGGACTGGAAGAGTAGGGACGGGGGGAGTAGGGACGGGGATGGTAGGGACGGGGAGAGTAGGGACGGGGAGAGTAGGCACGGGGAGAAAAGGACGGGGAGAGAAGGGACGGGGAGAGTAGGGACAGGGAGAATAGGGACGGGGAGAGGAGGGACGGGGAGAAGCGAATAGGGACAGGGAGAGTAGGGACGGGGAGAATAGGGATGGGGGGAGGGGACGGGGAGTAGGGACGGGGAGAATAGGGACAGGGAGAGTAGGCACGGGGAGAATAGGGACGGGGAGAGTAGGCACGGGGATAGAAGGGACGGGGAGAGTAGGCACGGGGATAGAAGGGACGGGGACGGGGAGTAGGGACAGGGAGAATTGGGACGGGGAGAGTAGGCACGGAGAGAGTAGGGACAGGGATACTAGGGACGGGAAGCGTAGTGACTGGGAGATTAGGGGCGGGGAGAAGAGAATAGGGACGGGGAGAGTAGGGATGGGGGGAATAGGGAAGGGGAAAGTAGGGAGCGAAGTGAGGGGCAGGGAGAAGGGGTTGCAGTGGTGGAGGATGAGGAGAGGGAGACGTTTTCGTCATTGGATATTGAGAGGTTTAGCATGTGCACTCAGCTGCTTAAGAGGGTATGTGACAGCTATTGTTCTTCTCCCCATCGTTTTTCCATCGTGTTGTGTTTCTGCATGCCTGTAGTCTACGACTTGGTTGGTCTTGTTTAGCAGCTCATGTCAATTGTTGTACCCTGACTTGCTCTTCTGTGGCACCTGCTTTCAAAGTCTTGAACAAAGTCCGACCTGATTGATTATCCAAGCAGCTTGCGTTCTGTTAATCTCTCCCGGCACTCATACCGGCCTGCCTTGTCTTGCCATCTGCCCTTCTGTCTCCCCTGCAGCATGCCCCTCAGGGTCTTCTCCCCTTCATTTTCAGACACGCCTGCTCGTTCATCTTCTTCATCCTCCTCCTCCACCCCACCCTTCCTCCTCCCCCCCCCCCCGCTTGCTCTCATCCACACCTGAGCACCACAGCACCAACAGCACCACCGCCACTGCCACTCTCCCAAACCCTCTGGTCCCTCAGCCACCCACGAATTCCCTCAGCCCAGCTTGGCCCTCCTTGTCCTCGTTGTAGGATCCACTGTCAACCATGACTTGTAACCTCACCTAAACCAACCTTGTGTGTATACCCTCGTTCCTTCTCTCCGCCTCCGTTGCTTCCCACTCATCCCTTTCCCCTCCTCCCATCTGCACACGTGTCCACAGGTGATTGGAGCAGCAGTGATGGTCTACTACCCACACCGCCGTCAAGCTGTCGAATTTCTACCTGAGCTGCACCGGGCGGCAAGACATGTCCCGATCTGTGAAGCTGCCCAAGGAGCAGAGCGACCGCCTTATCCACATGCTGCTGCCAGGTCGCATGCTGCCAGGTCGCATGCTGCCAGGTCGCATGCTGCCAGGTCGCATGCTGCCAGGTCGCATGCTGCCAGGTCGCATGCTGCCAGGTCGCATGCTGCCAGGTCGCATGCTGCCAGGTCGCATGCTGCCAGGTCGCATGCTGCCAGGTCGCATGCTGCCAGGTCGCATGCTGCCAGGTCGCATGCTGCCAGGTCGCATGCTGCCAGGTCGCATGCTGCCAGGTCGCATGCTGCCAGGTCGCATGCTGCCAGGTCGCATGCTGCCAGGTCGCATGCTGCCAGGTCGCATGCTGCCAGGTCGCATGCTGCCAGGTCGCATGCTGCCAGGTCGCATGCTGCCAGGTCGCATGCTGCCAGGTCGCATGCTGCCAGGTCGCATGCTGCCAGGTCGCATGCTGCCAGGTCGCATGCTGCCAGGTTGCGACGAGCATAGGTTGCCTGTCAGCGTGGACAGGCTGGTCATGCCGAGCTGCTGGCCTCATTGGGAAACAATTGGCCTGCATAGTACCAGGCTGCATGGTGCCAGGATGCATGGTGCCAGGCTGCATGGTGCCAGGATGCATGGTGCCAGGATGCATGGTGCCAGGATGCATGGTGCCAGGATGCATGGTGCCAGGATGCATGGTGCCAGGATGCATGGTGCCAGGATGCATGGTGCCAGGATGCATGGTGCCAGGATGCATGGTGCCAGGATGCATGGTGCCAGGATGCATGGTGCCAGGATGCATGGTGCCAGGATGCATGGTGCCAGGATGCATGGTGCCAGGATGCATGGTGCCAGGATGCATGGTGCCAGGATGCATGGTGCCAGGATGCATGGTGCCAGGATGCATGGTGCCAGGATGCATGGTGCCAGGATGCATGGTCCCAGGATGCATGGTGCCAGGATGCATGGTGCCAGGATGCATGGTGCTGGGATGCATGGTGCTGGGATGCATGGTGCTGGGATGCATGGTGCTGGGATGCATGGTGCTGGGATGCATGGTTCTGGGATGCATGGTGCTGGGTGGGCGGCATGGTGCCGGGTCGCCCCGTTGATAGGCCAGTTCGCGCGGAGTAGGTGCATTCCTTCCTTGGGAAAGAATTGGTCTGCATGGCTGCCACCTGCTCGGCCTGTCCATCATCGAGAGCCAGTGCGCTCTTCTGCCTGCCAGTGCGCTCTTCTGCCTGCCAGGGCTACAGGACCTACCCTACTGTCTCGACACGTGCGTTCACAAAGGCATGGCTCTGCTCCATGTTGCTGCAGCGGAGAAGCGGCTTGAGGTGAACATGCAAGGGGGTTAACGGGTGGTGGGGTCAAGGGTCGGTGTTTGGGCGTCAGTGATGGTGAGATGATGTGCTGCATCCGTTGTTGTCACTTGTGGGTCCATCGATGCTACCGAGTAGCTGCATTTTCTCTTCACATCCATATGACATGCGTTTATACAGATGTAAGGGAGCTTTGATGGGCAATGTCAGACCTTCCTCTACCAGCTACCCTCAGCCCCCTCTTCTCACCCGTGTCTTTCATGTCTCAACTCCCCTCCTCCCCTCCCTCCCGCACCCCACACTCCTCCACCAGCTGGACAACCTGCATCGACTTGCACCTATGACATGCATGGAGTGCGCAGGTTTTAAGAGGTTATGTCTAAATACGGTACATGCAACAAATACTGTACCTCAGGTAGTTGTCTTCTCTGTATTCCATTCTTTGCCCTCATGCAAATGCGCAGAAGGAACCTCGTAAAACATGCCTTTGACTGCCTCTTTCTTTCACTAACTATTCTGGCACACCCAGACTTATAGGTAGTGCCCCTTCCCATGTGCGCAGGTTACAGCACTGAGGGCATCAAGCCGCTTTCCACACTTGCATGCATAACATGGCTAGTTCTGAGAACTGTTATGCTGCTAATAGGCTTTGAACTGTGATATTCCAACCGCTTTAGAGAGTACAACCCTCTTAGAGTTGGCATGTTTGTCTCCCATCCTGTTTAGCCTAACCCATTCTGCTCTTCGTAACATTTTACACGACGTTGCAGTCTGACTGACGCCAAGCTATGAGTTGACAACTATCATCCCACCTGTACGCTAAGCTGTGCACGCGCAAAAGCTATCTTGCCCATTCTCTGGCACCTACGCCCTTACATGCGTGCACAGATCCTCATTACCGTATTCCCCTGGATAAAACACCCGGGGGTATTATGATAAATACCGGGAAAAAATGGGGGGGGTCTCTTCAACGGAAAGTCCTACATAATACCCGGGTGGTTATATATGGCACTTTTTAGTGTAAGAAAAAAAATTAATTAGACAATTTGGGTGTTTCAATAGTCGTTATAACATCACAGGTTGAGGCGAGAATTCGAGTTTTGGCGAGAATGTGAGTTTCACCTCTCGGGCCACGTGCAGCGGAAGATTCGCCAGCGTGGCGACAGCGAGATTGTGGGAGGGAGGGAATTTCAGTAGATTCGAAGTGAAAGTGCACGCGAAATTTCATTCAGGGAGCGATTTTCGTCATATCCTCCCGTAAAAAATCTGACTCGATAACAGCTATAATAGGGTTTCGTAAGAAAAGGGGGGTCTTATATAGGATCACCCCAAAAGGGGGGGTATAGTACCAACGGGGTCAAATATAACACCCCCCCCGCACAAGCTACCCGGGGGTGTACAATTCGGGGTGGGTGTTTTATCCGGGGGTATACGGTACATGAAAACCCGGTGGCAGGAAAGATTGAAGTTCCCAGCATGCGTCAGTGTCATGCCATCCAGGTCAAGGCTCACATGCCCTACCCTGTCCACCATCTCAGCCTTGTCTGATAGATACCATCGGAGCAGCATAAAAGGATAAACAATGATGCAGATCTTTCAGAGGTGATCACATTACTTGAAGCAATGCCTTACAAGCTCCATCATACACATTTTACCCTCTCCTCTGTAGAGATATTACTACACCTTGCACCCAAACAGCCAGCCATTTCTTCTTCAACTGCCCTTATAAAGCCATGCGAGGCACTACTCAGCACTCGCCCCCAGCTGCTGCTGCTGCCACTGCTGCCACCACTGCTGCTGCCAATTCTGCTGCCACTGCTGCTGCCATTCCTGCTGCCACTACTGCCACCCATCACACTCGCCTCCCTCATGCTCTCTTGCTCGCCCTTGTCCCCAATTTTCCAGCCTCCCCTCCCCTTCCCCTAGCCTCACCTCTCCTCGCATCCACTCTCCTCTTCCCTTTAACCATATGCCCGGCTGGTGACCGCTTCCCCCCTGCTCGTGGCCGCTTCCCCCCTGCTCGTGGCCGCTTCCCCCCTGCTCGTGGCCGCTTCCCCCCTGCTCGTGGCCGCTTCCCCCCTGCTCGTGGCCGCTTCCCCCCTGCTCGTGGCCGCTTCCCCCTCCATCATAACAAATGCCAGGCAGGCATTTCCCATGCAGCTCCCCTCATGCACACAGTGGTCGCTTGCCCAACCAGCACTGCACCTGCCTATGTCCAACAGCAAGGCACGAGTTCCACACGACCATTCGTTAACTCTCTACAGCATGCAAGCTGAGCCGTGCACAACCACCATTCCATGCTTCACTCCTCCGCATGCATGCCTACCCTCATTCTTCACACCCCTTGCCTCCACGCCCCTCCTCAGGCTTCTCTACCACGACACACTCACGTCCTCCCTCACCTCACCTCCCTCTCCCCCGTCACTCCCTGCCAAATTATTGTACTCAGACGATCCCCTTCTGATGTTTTAAGATCTCTCAGCTTGGTCAGGGCAGTCAGCTGCTGCAGCCCATCATCCGTGACTGCTGTGCCATCCAGATAAAGATGCATAAGCCCTCTCAGCCTCCCCACATGCACCATGCCAGCATTTGTCACACCCTTGCACCAAGAAAGCCACAACAGTTTGAGAGAGGAGAGGCTTGTCAAGTGCAGCAGACCAGCATCGGTCACCTTGGTTGTAATGGATAGAGCTCCCTAAGACCGGTCAAGGACCCAATACCTTCCAAGGCACTGTCAGAGACGCAAGTGCTTATAAGGTCTAACTTCTCCAGCCGTGGCAGCCTGTAGAGGTGCTTGAGCAAGCGTCCACTTCAATGCCCTTGAGGCGCGTCATGGTGGATACTTGCCCAATCATGACATCCGAGATGCAGTGGCAACTTCTCAGGCTCAGATCCGTTCCTCGTGATGCTGACTTAATCTGCCGGAGGTGATGGATGAAGAGGGCACGGATTGCAAGCCAAGGAACGGCCACATGAGAGGCTGTGGAGAAAAAAAAAAGGACACAGGGGAAAAATGGCAAGGGAATGGATGGATGCATTGTGCTACAGTTCACTCAACACTCACCTTCCATGCCATCTCTTGAACGCCTTCACTCTGCTTGATTTTAAGCTTCACGTTTTGTATCATCTGCCTTTCCTTAGAGGCCGCCCGCCAGTTCCTCCACCTCCTGCACCTCCCTCCTCGTTTCCTCCTCCTCCCATGCAAAACCCGCTGTGGTTTCTTGCTATCTCTTTCTTCTCTTCCCTCTCAAGCATCTCGCATCCGATGCCCTACTGCTCTCAGCCAATCTCTCTGCCATAGCGTCCTCCTGTTCCGCCAACTCCCCCTTGACCACTGCCAACTCCCCTTTGACCACTGCCAACTCCCCTTTGACCACTGCCAACTCCCCTTTGACCACTGCCAACTCTCCTTTGACGACTGCCAACTCCCCCTTCACTGCTGTCAACATGTGCCGCAGCTCATCCACCTCCTCCTTGTGTGCAGCCAGCTCCTCTCTCACTGCTGCCAGCACCGCCTCTTTCATTCACTGCGCTCGTCACTCCCTCAGCAGCCATTGCATCCACTCACTCCCCTCAAACGGCCCTCGTTCAGTGTCTGACTTTTCCCTACGTGCGACTGACTTTTTAAGTGCAGATTGGCGAAAGCAGACATGTGCAGCCCGGGTAGGGCAGAAATGGGTGTCATGACAGAAAAGAGAAGCGTAAAAGAAAAGGGGGAGAAGGGACGTGGTCGGTGCACACACGAACGAGGCCAATTACATGGGCATGAGAGATGAGACAGAGATGTGAGTAAGTGAGAAGATAAGGAGCAGCAGAAGAGGGAATCTGATGACAAAATGTGGGAGAATGGTTTGAGCACGTGTCAAGCGGTAAGAGGAGAAGCTTGTTCAAGCACAGGCAGGAGGGAGAAAGTGAAGACAAGATGTCAGGACAGGCAAGAAAGTAGGCACTGTTAAAAAGGGACCCCGCAAACTCGGCAGCAAGGGGGAAACCAATGCAAAGGGTGAAGGGTGAGGAGGTTCAGGGACTGCATAGGGCGGTTTACACTAGAGAGGCACACACAGGGCTGGTACACAGGTCGAGTAGTGTCAACCACATATAGTGAGTGTGAGCCACATGAACAAGCTGAACAAACTGAGTGAGCTTAGTGAGCTGAACGCAAATGCTGGGAATGAAATAGAGAGAAGGAGGCGGGGGAAGACGAGAGGAGTAAAAGCAGCCAGGGATCTTACCTGCTTCTAAGAGATAAAGAAAGTTATTCTATGAGTGAATACGCATCAGACGCTTAGAAATTGACATCAATAAATGTGGGGAAGGTGGGTCGCAGATAGTGGAGGTAAAACCAACAGCACTTGGCAAGAGTGGAATCGGGAGGAGAAAAGGAGCATGATAGGATGCTGCATGAGGAGGAGGAGCAGCATTGACCAAAAGGCAAAAAGTTCAACTCAGGTTGACATGAAACCTGCCAACTCTGCTCCTTACCACAGTCAGGCAGGCGAGGGAAGCTGGAGCGAGCACACAACTGAGGAATCTGAACGTATAAGGCAAGGGAGAACAGAAATGGTAGTGAATGCCATAGCATGAATGACCAAAGGGCCGAATGGTGGCTCAGCCGTTTGAAGTGTTCTTTGGGGCGAGACGGAAGATTCCTGGAGTTGACTTGCAACACGGCTTGGCATCCATCTTGGCTCTCAGCGAACTGGTTAGATTGAGACGACGGGGCTGATAGAACACCAATGTGAGTCGGTCGCGCTGGTTTCTATTACTCACTTACGAGGTCAGGTCTTATGCATTTAAGTCATTCTTTTGAACTCTATGTTGGCTGGGGTTGGGAGGGAGTGCGAGGGAGACATGACAAATCCCGAGGTAGTGCATATACATGGCGGAGGTCAAGACAGAGTGGCTTGCAAGTCGCAAGCCTAGAGGCGAGCCCGGCAGCTTGGAGCTGACAGACTTCTCAACTCGGGCATTAGATTTGAACCACAAGTTAAGCACGATACGGTAATACGGAATGAAAGAGTAGGAGTGGTTGGGAGGGGTAATTGGTGGTAACGAGAGTGGAAAAATCGATCTTGGGTGACATGGGGGCTCTGAACTAGCTACTATTCAGTTTTAGACATTGTAACAGCTAAAACCATCTCGACGGTTGGTGGTCAGAGGTAAGGCCATTCAAAAGTAGGTCACTCACGAAATTGAAACTTTACAAGCTAAGTCAATTGCAGGCTATGTCGACTATTAATAACTTGCACTTCAAGTCGTTTACAGCATTGATAACTCACATGCTAAGACGGTGACAAGCTTGATAACTCACACGCCAAGTCTGTTACAAGCTTGAGAAGTCACACGCTAAGTAGATTACAACCGTGGTAACTCACACGCTGTGTCTGTTACGACCTTGGTAACTCACACGCTAAGTAGAATACAATGTTGGTAACTCACACGATAAGTAGAATACAATGTTGGTAACACACACGATAAGTAGAATGCAATGTTGGTAACTCACACGATAAGTAGAATACAATGTTGGTAACTCACATGATAAGTAGAATACAATGTTGGTAACTCACACGATAAGTAGAATACAATGTTGGTAACTCACACGATAAGTCGATTACAATGTTGGTAACTCACATGATAAGTAGAATACAATGTTGGTAACTCACACGATAAGTAGAATACAATGTTGGTAACTCACACGATAAGTCGATTACATTACGACCTTGGCCACGTCGCATGCTGCGTATGTGAAGTCTCACAGAGGCATGACCATTGTTGGCTGGGTCATGAATGAGGCTAGGACAGCCACAGGCTAGCTCACTTAATAACCACTAATTGCAGGTCATCTCAATCACAGGATAGGGAAGTCACAAGCTAGGTCAGTCAGTCAATGCGAACAGATTTAACACTGGCAGTATCTATCACGGGCCATGTCATTCAAACCTAGGACAGTACCATGCTAATTGACTTAGAGCCTACGTCACTCACACCCTAGGTGGTCAATCACAAACAAGGTCATGCACAGGTTAGGCCAGTCACATTCTAGGTCGGTTATAGGCTAGGTTAGCCACCGGTTAGGTCAGTCACGAGCTAGGCAAGCCACATGCTGGGTCACTTTAACACTAGGTAAGTTGGAGCCTTGGACAGTCAACAAAGGCTAAGACGGACACACAAGCTAGGTAGTCAGCGGCCAGGCCACTACTATGATAGACCAGTCAGAAGCGTGGGCAGTGAAAAGTTGAGGCAGCCACAAAACAGGGTCAGGGTAAGGTTCATCAGAGGTTTGGTCAGGCACTCCCTCAGGCTAGGTCACTCATAGCCTGATCTGATCTGATCTGTCTGACAGACAAGTCACTAGCTAGCTCAAACCTAGGTTGGAATATACACCCACGAAGCTGTTGCATACTATGTATCCACTGGCCATCGACGCAATTCACAATACGCCTGGAAAATTTCCACATTTGTGAAATGGCATAGAAGAACAAAACACATGTTAATCAGACCACCAGTATTTTCCCCAATTCATTGACCACCTCAGGTACCACACCTTAGCAACACCTTGCTGCAGCTACCCAATCAAGATTTTTTGTCCACACAGATCTGCTGCGCGCATTCTCTCAAACACATTTCTACAACAGTTACCCTCCTTCCCCTGGTTCGTGCGACTATCCTGGCTATATTTCTGTCGTATCAAGATGAGAATTTCAATCCTCCTAACCGTATTCAACTTGTATCGTCATACATGATTCGACTCAAGGTTAGAACATTGATTACAGAATAGGTCCATCACAAACCTAGGTCAGTGGGGGGGCTAGCCTGGCTAGGCTCGTCGTCACACGCAAGATCAGTAAGAGGCAAAGTCCGTCAGGCAGAGGCTAGCCTCCACAAGGTACGTCAGTCACAGACTATGTTGGTGAGAGGCTAGGTTGGTCTCATGCTAGGTAAGCCACAAGGTGGGTCAGTCACATGAATTTTGGTTTGGAAGCTACAAAAGTCACAAGGTAGGCCAGTCACCGGCCACGTCAGGCACAAGCTAGGTCAAACAGAAACCAGGTCACTCGCATGCTAGGTCAATAAAAAGTTAGGCCAGTCACAGGTTCGGTCAGTCAGAGGTTCCATCAATCAGGGGGTAGGTCAAGCACAAGGTAGGTCAGTGATAGCTAGGAGTCGTCTGACAAAAGTAAGGTCAGTTCTAGGTTACGTTACGATAGCCAGATGGGTCACTTCAAGCTAGGACAGACACGAGCAGGGTTAGTCACAGGCAAGGTCACTCACGGCAGGGCAGGCTACGTCGGCCCGCCACAGGCCAGGTCAACCATACGCTAGGTTAGATACGAGCAGTGAATTATAATTTGACTCGACTTGGCCGACTCAAGTGGTCACTCGACTCGACTCTTTGTCATGTCGAGTCCGCTTGGGCTAATGGGCAAGGCACCGGCGGACTCCACTGGACACTTGTCGGGTCGGCACTGACCGCGTTGGTGATTTGAAACAGAACATTTGACTTGTCTCTACTCGACTAGCTTGTCTCCGGCATTTACTGTGTCAAGCAACATTTCGTTCAGAATCTGCATCTCTTATTTTCTCGATCCAATTTCGGCCTGATCTTGTTAAAAGTCGTTCCTTGTCGGCCTTGTTGTTCCTATCTTGTCCCAGCCCTTATCTCGGCCTTGTCGTTCCTGCCTTGACGCGCGAGTTGACTCGGGTCAGTCAGAGCCGTCGCCCTGTGCACAGTCACAGGCTGGGTGAGACAAGCTCGGTCAGTAACGGCAAGATCAGTCACAGGCTGGGTCACTCACCGCCTAGGGTGGTCACAAGCTGAGAGGTGGGTCAGGGTAGGTTGGCCGCCGGGGTTTGGATGACAGCGTGAGTGTATCAACGATGACGAGGAAAAAGCAGCACGGGAAGGGGCCGGGACAACGATGCTAAGAGGGACAAAGAGTGCGACAAGGGGCTCTGCTAGTTTATGGCGGTGTGCAGAATTCGCAGCGACTCGGTATGTAACCTAAAGTTGCACGTTGGCCCCCTCTGGCAGAACTACGAGCACCTCAATCGTAGGCTGTGAACCTCACGCTTGCAATGCGCAGGGCTGATCGGGGAAAGTGGGGCTTAGCTCTATCTAGGGTTTCTTAGACTATCGCGTTTCTGCGACACTTAGAGTGGCTGAGCAGCGGCGCGGTAATTCGATCCCTAGTGCGTGCTGCGTGATGGCGAGGCTTGGCGATTCGAGAGTGACCGAGGAAGGTAGGCAAAGAGACGGACGGGCAATGAAGGAACGGCGCCGCGTTGGTACAGTTTCGTAGAGGTGATTCGAGTAACATTCCTTTCACCATGCGCTCTTAGTCACCATCGTTATATGCATACTATGCCTCACGACACACTTGTAGACGCAAGCTCCGTCTGTTTTTTAGAGACGTACCGGACTTTTGCTGTTGGTGAAGCTCGTTGACTGAGTCAATGCAGCTGGGTTGCGCTCGGTCAGATACTGAACAATTCAACCCACCTTTTGACCACCTTGCTTCTTCACGACAAAAACAATTCGCGAGAATTGTTGCACCAGTCGCGAGCTTTTGTCCTCATCGCGAAACGAAACTACCTTGCGGTCAACACTTCCTTCCTACCACCTAACACCAAGCCAGAGAATTCCCTAGGTAGCATTTCTCAGCCACGTTTTGCGTTGCGTCTTGCGCCAAGCAAAACTCTACGGCGTTTTTCTGGAATCGACCATCCTGTGCCGTAGGTAACGTGTAATATGGTAAACAATGCAACGGTCTGGACAATTGATTGCCGTAGTACTATAAGCGTCATGCGTCAGTCGCGTTTTCCGAAGTTGCCCAAATCATGCCATTTAGGGTTTCTCTAAGTGCGGGCTTCCTTTTTTCTTTCAAGCCCAACTTAATCTCCATTGTAGCATCGATTTCGTCATGAAATCGACTGTACTGTTCGTTATCTGATTTGGGGGAATCACGCGGATGCCCTGAAGAAGAATAGTCGGTCGCGCTGCGGCCTCCGCGGGAATGACGATCTATAATACCTTCACAATCTATGGGATCTTCGCCGTCATATCCGGCCTGTCTTCACGGACCGCTGTGACGGCATGGTCAGGTACGCATGCTAAACCATGGCAAAGGTACGCGTTTCAAAGGGACGAGGTACGCGCTGCAAAGCATTGTCACGTACGTGCCAAGGCATGTCGAACGCATTTTCAAGTAATGGCGAGGTACGCGTTATACGGCATGACGAGGCATGGTGGCGCATTTCGAGGCACTACTGGCAACGGTCAACTTTGCACGATTCAAGGCATGGTGAGATATAAACCCGAAACAAGCTAAAATAAGATCAGCTGATAGGTTCAGAGACTCCCAAAGAAAAAAATGCGACTTCTGTTTGCAACAGCTTCAGCTGCCACCAAAGGGTTTCCATGCCAAACCCCACCCCCCCCCCCCCCCCCCCCCCCCCCCCCCCCCCCCCCCTTTCCCCGCCTCCCCCCTCCCTTTCTTCGCCGCCCCACTTCCCCCACACTCCCCCCTCCCCCCTCATCCTCCTCCTTCCTCATTACAGACATAGAGCACCACCCAGCATCAGTGGAGCATCACGCAGCAGGCATGGGACACCACCGTCATTATCATTATCACGCAACCAGCCCACACGGCAATTCTTTCACCCAAGCTCTGTCTCAGCACAGTCACACCCAGTACATTCCCAACGACGGATACAGTCACGACGACCGTGACATGCTGCGTCGGGTTGAGTCGGTGCGGCAGCAGCAAGAGAGGGACAGTCAGCCCCCGCCGCTCTTCACTGCTGTGGCTGCCGCTGCTGTGTCATGCGAGTCCTTTGTCCTCGACTTCCCTCTCAGACGGGCTGCTGCTGCTGCTTCTGCTGCTACAAATACTGCTTCAACCGCAGCATCCATATTTCAAACCCAAAGGAGGCGGAGGAGGCATCGAACGGTGATCATCGGGCCAGTCTCACTGCAACGGGCTGCTGTAGCCGCAGGGTACCAGCTGTCTCAGAAGCGCCGGAAAGGCCCCTGCAGTATGTGGCTCAAGAGAGTCTTTTTAGTCAGAGTCAAGTCGCCTGCTGATTTCGCCGCCAGGGCCTCTCTCCCGTCCACCGCCACCGTTATTCTGCACTTACAGAGAGATTTGACGCTGCCTAGAGGGGTTGTGTTCGGGCGGCAGCACTCGTGCACAATACTCATGTCAGCAAAATGGCCCGGTTACACGCTGACGGGTGGTAACCCTATGTATCCAGTGCTGCGCGTGTGGAACACGAGTAACGTGATGTCGCTGAACGTGAACTACCAGCTGGCGGTGACGGAGAGCAGCCCCGAGTGCAGCACTGTGCCCGAGCTGGGCAAGGCCGTCACCTGCCCCGCCATCTCCATCCATCGCTCCTTCGGCGTGCAGATTGGCAAGGTGAGCCCCTCCCTTGTTCCTGCTTTTCAGGAAAAGAGAGCATTACAGAATGCACCACCCCGAACTTTGAATCACCGCGTGCGGTAAGTTGAGTGTCGCCGAATGCACCACCCCAAACTGTTACCTGCTGGTGATAGAGAGCACCACGACCTGAGCAAGGAGTGGCGTGCCCAGCGATCTTGACCCGTCGGTCCTATGGCGTGCAGTGCAGATTGGCAAGCTGAGTTCCTCCGTTCTAATTGCTTGTTGCGCTCCTTTCGCATGTCTTCCGTGATTCTATGTGTCATCTTTTCTAGCGTGTTTGATTGTTTTGTCATGATTGAGGAAAGCGTAACAAAGAAGCTTCTTTGATACCTTCTTCCTCTCCTTGCTCACACTCTAATGAGATGTCTTCTACACGTGCTTCCCTTTTCTACCCTCTCCCATCCCATCCCATCTCGCCTGCCAGCCTGTCTCCTCCACAGGGCACCATCGTTGGCCCAGTGCACGTGGCGAGGAGATTAGAACAGGCATGTGCCAAGACTCACAAGAGTTCTCTTGTCTGGATTCTTCCGGTGAACGTGGTGGTGTGGTGCTATGTTCGAAAAGACGCAGCTAGGACGCTGCGCCCTGCGTCCGGACGCTAGGACGCAGGACGCGCGTCCAGACGCAGGACGCACGTCGAAAAAATTTTCGGGCAGCCCGGAAAAAAAATTTCGATCGCGATTTTGACATTCGCGATTTTGACGCGAATGTCGAAATCGCGAAATTCTCCCTCCCCAACCCCAAATCGCCATTCAAAACCAGCCCACCCAACATTTCCCTAACAACTCAATCAACATTGACTTTCACTCAAACCTCTCAACCACTTCAAATCTACGAATCCCAACCCTTGTGGCCCACCACCACCAAGCACATTTACCTTGGCAAGCTTTTGTGGCTTCTCATTATCCCCTCACCAATTCTCTTTTTCGTAAACCCATAGAGGTTTTAGGTCTTAGCTTAGCTTGCAACCTAAACTCCGCTATGGCTTCCTCGAGCATACCTTCTTCTTCCACCGCGTCTAAGAGTGTTGACGTTGACGTAGGCACTCCCCCCAAGCGTTACACTAAGGACGGGGTGGAGAAAAAACCGCAACAACCCGATCACCATATTTATAGGCATTTTTGGAGGTTCGATGATCCCGGCAAGATCCCGGCAAGAAGGAGCAGCAGTGCGAGTGCCTGTGGTGCGGAAAGACGTTCGCTTTTAGTAGTAGCCGATGCACTCAGCATCTCGCCGTTTGGAGTGACGCGAACGTGCGGCGCGATGGCGGAGCTGTGTGCGCGGATGTTCCTAAGCGCGTTTCCGACGCCATTCGCAACTCGAAGGACGCGAAGATGACGGCGCGTAAGGATAAGGAGAGGGCTTTGGAGGAGGCGCTCACGTCAGTGGGCGGCCAAGGCGGAGCGGGTCCGAAGCCAAAGAAGGGGCGCATGGAGGATTGGTACGGCGAGGGGGGGATGTCGGCGAAGCGTGCGGCAGACGATGCGATTTGCCTCTTCATTGCGGGGACGCGCACGACGGAGCGCGTTTGCGAGCACCCCCTCTTCCTCAATATGCTGCGCGCCGTTAACGCCGCCGGTGGCGGCTACGTTCCGCCCAAGGCGCGCTACATCGGAGGCGCCGGGTTGCTGGCGTGCAAGCAGCAGATTGAGAAGGGTTTATCGCCCATTACGAAGTCGTGGAAGGAGACCGGCGTGACGATCGCCAGCGATATGATGAAGGACAAGAGCGGGCGCGCGCAGATGAAGGTCGTCTTCATCAACGCCAGTGGAGCGGTTTTCCTGGAGGCGTTCGACTGTAAGGCGGAGACAAAGACTGGTGCGTTCATCGTGAGCGTCCTGCAGCCGCTGATCGAGAAGCTTGGACCGGAGCACGTCGTCGCGATTTGCACGGACGGCGGCAGCAACTACGTGTTTGCCGGCAAGCTGCTGCAGAAGAAGTACCCGCACATGGAGTTCGTCCCCTGCGCCACTCACGTGCTCGACCTGCTGTTGGAGGACTTCGGCGGCATGGATTGGGCGCAGGAGGTCGTGTCAGTTACCACCGACATGATCACGTTCCTGCGCAGCCACACTTGGACGCGTGCCTTCCTCCGGTGTCCCGAGCTGCACGGCGAGAAGAAGTCGCTGCAGCCGCTGCGACCGGCGGGCACACGCTTTGGGACGCAGTACTTTGCGGTTTCACGCCTGCGAGAGATTCGCCAGCACCTGGTGACGATGGTGACGCACACGGACTGGGCCGAGAAGGGGAGGAAGCAGCAGACTGGAGCTACTTTTGAGAAGGCGGTGATGGATGTGGAGTGGTGGGGCAAGGTGGACACCTTCGTGAAGGTGATGGAGCTGCCGCACAAGTTGATGAGGAAGACGGATGGGCCAGCGAAGGGGATGATGGGGGCACTGTACGACATGATGCTGCAGCTGACGGTGGACCTGAAGGAGCTGTTGGCGAGGGCGGATTGTAAGCTTGAGGAGTCGGAGAAGGAGGCGTTGATGGAGCATTTGAGGAGGCGATGGGATGAGAGTTTGGCCTGCCCTCTTCACGTGGTAGGCCGGATTCTTAACCCGGTCAACCAGGAGGAGGGGATCTACCTGAAGGACAGAGAGTGCACCCGGATGATGAAGGCGTGGCTGCAACGCTCGAGGGCCTTCGTCGACAAGTATTGGAAGAAGGACGGCGAGTGGGAGGGAACGATGTTGGCGCTGCAGGAGGGGATGTTGGCGTACATTGAGGGCAGGGGGGGTTTGGGTCGGAGGAGGCGGAAGCGGGCCGTGCGCAGCTGAAGGAGGGGAAGGGGGACATGGCGGCGTGGTGGAAGGTGAATGGCTGGGAGTACCCCGAACTGGCAGGCCTCGCGCGCCGTGCGGTGTCACAGGCCGTTTCCGCCTCTCCATGCGAGCGGGGATGGTCCACGTGGGATGGGGTGCACACGGCGCGCAGGAACAGGCTGGGGTCGGAGAAGGTGCGCGACCTGGTGTACGTGGCGCACAACTGGCCGGTTGTGCACGGCCACCACCAGGGTGCAGCTGGTGGAGCAGGGCCAAGTGGGGAAGTCAGGAGGGCGGGGGTGGTGGAGGGTAACATTCCCACCCCTCCCCTCCCCGAGGGATACAAGCTGGAGGAGGACGGGGAGAGGGAGGTGGACGAGGACGACCCGTGCGTCGACGAGTACAAGGAGCAGGAAGTGATGGACAAGGATGAGGAGGAGAAGGAGAGCGAGGAGGATGATGGGGATGAGTGATGGTAGAGTTGATGCAGGGCTGTGGTAGTTTAGTGTGCATGGTCGTAATTTTTGAACTTAATGTGTGTGTGACCACCTTAAATGTGTGACGCGTGACCCACCTTAATCTTACATTTTGGGGTACAAATTTGTGGTTGGGGAAAATGTTGCATTGAAAGTGTGGTAGGTCCCCAACCCCCCCTCTCCCAAGCCCTGTACTACTTTTTTTTGCCTGCCCGGGAGTTTTTTTTGCCCTGCCCGGGCTTGCGTCTTTTGGTGCGTCTTACAGGTCCAGGTACAGCGTCCTGCGTATGGACGCATGCGTCTGGACGCATGCGTCCAGGACGCAGGACGCGTCTTTTCGAACATAGGTGTGGTGGTGGTGGTGGTGAGATGTTGGAGCAGCATTAACTCGTCTCATCCCACACCCACATGTCTTCCAGCTCCTCATCATTCCACGCGCCTCCACTCTCATCCCCATTCCCTCTCCTTTTCTCCCCCTCACGGCATGGCACCGTCTTTGGTCGAGTCGACGTGCAATGGAGCATGGGCGTGCGGCTGCTGGAATGAATAACGGTCACTGGAGTGGTTTCTCTTTCTCTTTCTCTCTCTCATCCCACACGTCGTCAACCTCCCTCGAGCCTCCACGCGCCTCTCTACCCTGTCTACCTCTCTCCCTCGCAGGGCAACATCTTTGGCCGAGTGGACGTCTTTGGGAGCATAGGAATGCTGCCGGACTCACTCACTGTCATTGGAGTGACCTCTCTCTCTCCCACACTCCTCTGACTCTCTAACACGCACTTCCCTTCCAACAATGCTCTACAATCGTGCCTGTCCCCTGCAGGGCAGCATCTTTGGGCGAGTGGACGTGCTACGGAGCATGAGCGTGCGCCTGGACTCACTCTCGGTCACCGGAGTGGCTTCTTTCATCAAGTCGCCTGGGGTGATCCGCGTGGCCCTCAGTGGGTACGGGCCTGCACTGCTCAAGTCCAACGTTGTCATCTCCAACAATGACGTGTACGGTGAGTGGGATGCTTCCCAGAGTCAACAGGAGTCAACGAGCGTAAATGATTGAGAATGAGGTATATGGTTAGTAGTGGAATATCTCATTGAGCCAAGGAAGGAGATTCAACAATAATCAGTGAGTGCGAGAGGGCTCTCTCTCGACAGCATAAGCTGCTCCTTCCTTGGCCTCTTATCCTTCCTCCCCCTTTTCGCCATCTTACCTTTACTCCCCCATTTGCCCCCTTATCCTCACTACACCCTTTCCCTCTCTCCCTATTGCCCTCTTATTGTCACTCTCCCCCTTGCCCCCTTATCCTCACTCTCCCCCTGCCCTCCTGCCCCATTGTCTTGCACAGAGGAGCAGTGGACATAACAATAACAAGCAGCTTTATTCATGACTATATCTTCTCATCACCATGCTCTTTCCCACTTTGTCCCTTAATCCACTCCCCCCTCTTACCATGCATGTAGGGGTGAACACCCCCATCGTGCTGCACAGGGGAGCAATGGGCATAGCAGTCACCAGCATCTACATCCATGCCTATTATTTTTGCAGAAAGTCGAAGTGCATCACAGCAACGAATGCTGTGATCTCGTCATTTCCCCTCCTCACCAGCTTACGCCTCCCCTTCCCCCCCCCCTCCTTCTTATGCCCATTTGCCCCCTCTTCTCGTTTCGCCCTCCTCCGCCCTCTTTCTGTTGCCTGCAGAGATGAGCACTCCGACTGTCTTGCACAGGGGAGCGGTGGGTATCACCGCATGCTCACTCGCATCAACGCAAGGCTTGTTTATTTCAACAACAGGGATCATGTCTCGGCACGGATTCATCACCGACGCACTGATTGAACTCTCCTCCTTTTTTCACACTCTTTCCCCCTTCTTTCCCTTGGCTGCAGGGGTGAACACTCCGATTCTCTTGCACAGGGGAGCAGTAGGTGTAACTGTCAGGAACAACTACGTCCACAACTACACTTTCGCAGGGATCAAGTGCGGTGCCGACGTGCATTACAGCGGTGCCTGCATGCTCTCGCGCATCAACTCCAACCTTGTGGTTTCTTCTGGGAGGAACCTAAACGGGGACCATGACTCGGCGGGGATCTACTTCTACACGCACTGGTTCAGCCCGGGGAACGCCGCGCTGTGCAACTACGTGTTCAACGGCGATCACTGCTTCTATCTGGACCATTGCACGTCGGGCGTGCTTGTCAGGGGAGGCGCGTGCGTGAATACGTACGACGGCATGAAAGTGAACAACGGCAAGCGGTGAGGGACCGTGGAAATCCCGTGCCGTGCTGTGCAATTATATGTTGAGCTGCGCCCTTTAGGACACCCCATTCGTCCCATACCCTGTCTCAGCAGCCTTTTTTGCACAACAACTCCTGATGCCGTACTGACCTGTACTGGCGTCCGCCCCTTCCTCCTTGTGTTGGCTGCAGGAACGTGATCGAGAACGTGGCGATGAAGGGCACGCGCGGGTCGCTGGGATGGACGTCGTGCTTCACAGTGACGATCAACAACTGCCTCAAAGACCCGGGCAACTACTGGGAGGCCATGCGCGTCAAATACTACAACAGCGCCCGCATCAACCAGGTGAGTGGGAGCATGGCAGGTGGTGAGCATAGCGCACATGCCATAGCTTAGCATCCAACATGTGGCACGCCTCAAAAGTACCAAAAGGGACTACTGAGAGGCAATGCATGCAAGTGAAATACTACACAGCGCCCACATGAACCTGGTACGTGCGTGCGCGCGTGCTGAGAGCTGTTACTACTGGGAGGCATCCTTGTGAATATCTGCGCCAGTGGCTGTTTATCTGGTGCCCCTGTGGTGGCATTAAGACTCGTGCCTCTCACACAGCGACCGTATTAAATGGGTGTGTTAGAGTAAAGCAGCAGGGGTTCAGCAAAGAGTGAGTGTAACACTGCGAGCAAGTGTAATGTCACATTTGGTCAAACTTACCAAATGATCACTGCTCCTCCACCCCTTGACCCTTCCTCCATATCACGCTGATGTGCTCCTTCCCTTACGTCCCCCCTCGTTTCCCTCCTCTCCTCTCTCCCATCCCACTCTTCCGTCTCTCTTTTCCCCACCTTGTTATTGCCACATTCAGCTATGGCCTTGGATGAAGGACGTCTGCAAGGAAACATCGGCCAACGGCGGTGTGCCATGTAACCCACCAGGGCAGCCAGGTGCTGACGTGACGGGAGCATGCAGCGGGCTGGGAACCGACAACCTCATCGATGTTGTTGCCGTCAACACCACCAGTTACGGCCTCGACTGGAAGCACTGTGAGAATTTCACTGTTACGGAAAAATTGAATCGGGAGATCAACATTACGCTGAGTCAGCCTCTTGCTGCGGGTTTTCGGGACTACACACGGAATGATTTGGGGCTGGAAAATACTTCTGCAATTTTGAAGTTGCGGCCGGACTATTTGAGCTGCCCGTTGGGGCTCGCAGGACCGAGAAAGTTTTCGGAGAAGTCTTTCTATATGGGCTACAACATCCCGATGCCAAGGGGGTTTAGGAAGGTTGTTACGATGGACATTAAGCATATTATAAATCAGGACTTGATTATTCCCTCGGTTAGAGCTAAGATGATGGCTGATGAGGAGTATTCGTGGCTGGGTAAGCTCACATTACCTCTAGGCTAATCAACTAAAATTTGATCGTTGTCACGCTTTTCAAGTACGGTATGAACGCTATCCCATCTTATTCCGAACAAATTATTTGTGCGAGTGTGAATCCTGTGCACTTCAGGTGACGCCCTATCTAATCTCACACGTGGCCTGTTCGAACTTGTAACGCCCACATACAAGTGACGTCGCACAGCATCTTTGTCTCCCTTGCTTGGGGGAGTCGTTAGCCAATGCGAACACCACCAACCTCGCAAGAGAAAACTTGTACCAAGTCGTGAGCCAGGACCTCTCATCGCGCTTTCGCCCATCCTCTCGAAATGTCATCCCGTGCACTTCTCCTTCACATCACACCTAGTTGTTTCATGGCTTCACCGCTCTTTTCGAAGAGCCTGCAAACCTCTGCGCAGCAGTTTGGCTCGCCAAGCTAGCAGTCCTAGAAGACCTACTAGCAAGTTCTGATTTTCGAGAAAGGGACCGTCAGATCCAGCGGGATGTCTGGCATGGCACCACCACATTGGGAACCTTGAGCAGGGGAAGAAGGGAGCTATGCTGTAGTAGAATGTAGGTCCCCGGTAGTCCCTCTTGAATAACACCACGAAAGCGCATTCAGAGGGCATAGAGCATACGCAGAGTATCTGGAAATGGGGAGAAAGGGCAAGAGGATGGGAGGTGGGAATGGAATGGGAAGGGGTTGGGATGGGGATCGGGATGGGGATGAGGATGGGATGGGGATGGGGATGAGAATGGGGATGAGGATGGGATGGGGACAGGCTAAGCTCAGGTTTGGTTTTGGCCTACTCATGATTGGCAGTGTAGCTTTTTCAAAAACCCTTATGGGCAGTGTGTACTTTTCCATTACACTGATAGAGCAGTGTAACATCAGGTTTTGAATTTTCTACCCTGCATCATCAGTGTGGTTTTATTTCAAGCACTGACACATTATGTGTAAATTAGGTGTGTATGACAGGTGGCGAGAAAGTTATCTGCCTCCCAGGTCCCCTCCCACCTCGATCGATTGTTTGTGAGGGGCGGGGGGGAAGGGGAGGACTTACGAAATTGGCGAGAATTTTGCCTCCCCTCCCCCTCGACCGATTGTTTGTGGGGAAGGGGGGGAGGGAGGGGGGGGGTGGGTGTGGGGGTCCGTGTACGCTCTTCAGTGTAATCCTCGCTAAGGGAAATTTTACCTCAAGGCATCAGTGTGGCCTACATCGATACACTTACTGATCAGTGTAACACTAACTCATAAAAAAATTACCCCAGCACATCAGTGTAGACCCAAAATTTCACCCTTGTAATCAGTGTAGAAGGGTAAATTACACTGATAACCTGAGCCCTGGATGGGGATGGGGATGAGAATGGGGATGAGGATGGGGATGGGAATGGGGATGGGGATGGGGATAGCAAAGAGGACGGGGATGGGGATAGCAATGGGGGTGGGGATAACAATGGGTACGGGGATGGGGATGGCGATGGGATGGAAATGGGTTAACAATGGGGGTGGGAATAATGTCATACATATATGTGTGTTATTCTTGTTCTTGGTAGGCTGTAGTGGGGTAGATAGTATGAGGTACATTTCCTTAGGGTTACCTTTTGTACCAAACTCCTCGATAGTCAACTTCAACCTTGCCTAGCTACTCTAACATGGCATCTAGAGCAGGTTCTTAGGACCTAAGTTTAACTAAGTTAGGGCCCAACCGTACCTCACCTACGGCCTGCCTTGCCTGCCTGCTTCCCGCGCGCGCCTCGGCTGCGCGCGCGCGTCTCTTTTTTTTTTTTAGCGCGCGCTGCTGCTGTTTGTCGCGTCACGCCCCGTACGTCGCCCGCGCAGCCCGCCCTGAGCCCGCGCAGCCCGCGCGCGGCCCGTCGCTGCCTCGCGCAGCCCGCTAAGGCCCCGCGCAGCCCGTCTGCAGCCCGCGCGTCGCGTCCGTCGCTCGCGCGCAGCCCGTTTAGGCCCCGCGCGTCGCGTTCGCTGCCTGCGCGGCCTGCTCCAGAGCTGCGCGCTGCAGCTACCGTCCGCGCGCAGCCCACCTAGGCCCTGCACGTCGCGTTCGCCGCTCGTACAGCGCATTGCTGCCCCGTGCATCGCGCCCGCCTGTACCTGCCGCCAGGGTTTAGGGTTTACCCTGTTTTTCGTGCTTGCCTTGCGCCTCTACCGTCTGCCTGCCTACCTGCCTTGAGCACGTGTCTGCCTTAAGCACCTGCCTGCTACAGTTGCCTGCTGCCTGAGCCTGCAGCCTTTGCCTGCTGCCTGAGCCTGCTACTTTTGCCTGCGCTGCAACCATGGCGACCCTTACTGTTCTCGCCTTTGAGCCTGACGGCCGCCCCATCGAGTTTGACACATAGCTTAGTGATATGCGGCTTTACCTTATGACTGACGTCGCAGACGGAGTATCACTGCTAGCCTATGTGACCGGCACTGTCCCTACTCCCGCTGAGAATGCTCCTGCCCCTGATTGAGCACAGTGGCAGCTCCGCGATGCAGTCGCGCGCCTTGCTATTCGCAATCACCTACCGATCTCTGAGCGCGCGCATTTCAACCAGCTTACGACAGCCAAGACGCTGTATGAAGCTGTCGTTGCTCGCTATTCCGCCCCAGCCACAGCCACCGTTGGTAGTCTCATCCTGCCTTACCTGTTCCCAGACTTAGCCTCGTTTCACACTGCTGCCGACCTTATCACTCACCTCCGCACTAGTGACGCTCGCTTTCGTGCCGCTCTCACTGACGAGTTCCTCGCCACGAACCAACCCCCCATGTACAATACCCTCTACATCCTCGTCACCCGCCTCCCTGACACCCTTCGTTCAGTCAGGGACCACTTCCTTGCCAAGGATCCTACCACTAACACTCTGGACGACATCGCGCAGCAGCTAGTCGCAGCAGAGAAGAACATCCTCGCTGTCGGTGCTGCTCGTGGCACTCCCCGCACTCCCCTCTTTGAGGGGTGCTCCCCCTCCCCTCTTGCCCCCTCCTACGCCTCTGCTGCTACTGCAGTCGACCTCCTCGGTGTGGAGAAGGTCGCAGCGGCTTCCGCTCCTAGTGGCAGGGGCGGCAAAGGTGGCAGGGGTGGCGGAGGTGGCGGTGGAGGGAGCGGTGGTGGAGGCGGCGGGGGTGGTGGAGGTGGTGGGGGTGGCCGTGGGGGTGGAGGCGGTGGGTGGGGTGGCGGCAGGACCGGGGGCGGTGGAGGCGGCAGCGGAGGTGGTGGGGGAGGAGGCAGCGGCAGTGGCGGTGGAGGTGGGAGCGGGGGTGGATCTGGCCAGAAGGGCCAGCAGCAGCAGCAGCAGCAGCAGCCACAGCAGCAGCAGCAGCGTCCCCCCCTCACCTCCCAGCAGCTCAATGACTGGTATGCTGGGCGTGGGGCGACTCGGGGTTCTGACCGCTGCCCTTATGTCATTCATACTGGCCCCCGCAAGGGTCGCACCTGCGACGGTTTTCACACTGAGTACCGCTGTTTCGCTAGGCTTAGTGACGCCTGGCGCGCCAAGTATCCTGATGCTACTGAGTTCCCCAACTAGGCAGAGCTGCTTAGGCATGATGTGCCTATCTTTGATCTGAACTATGATGTTATTCTTGCTGCCATGTATGCATTGACTGTTAGTGCTGAGGGTGACTACTACTTGTGTGTGCCGCCTGACCCTGGTATTGACCCCGGTATAGGGGCTGCAGCCCTAGGTGCTGGTCAGTATGCTCCCCTTGGTACTGCGTCGGCTCAGGCCTTGCACACGTTTACACTTGACTCTGGTGCTTCCCGCTGTTTCTTTCGCGATAGCACCACCGTCACTCCCCTCCCTGCACCTGTCCCTGTCTCACTGGCTGACCCCTCTGGGGGCCCAGTGCTTGCACGGTCCACTACTGTGCTTCCCTGTCCGGCGGTCCCGTCCGGTGAGCTGTCAGGTCTCCACCTCCCCTCGTTCTCTACGAACCTGGTGAGCACCGCCGTCCTTCAGGATCACTGGGTTGACACCTTTACTCCTGGAGGACGGCGAGTGACACACTGCTCTTGCTCTAGGACCGGCAGGTGTTCACACGTGCGCCTGGGTCCAGTCTGTACACCCTCACCGCTGTGTCGCGTCACGCCCCTTTGTCTCCTCAGCTGTACGCGTCTGCTCAGGTAGCTACCCAGTGCGAGTGTCGTCGCCTGTCACACGACACTCTCCTGTGGCACCACCGCCTTGGTCACCCCTCCCTGCCTCGCCTGCGTGGCATGCACACTCGCTCCCTCGTCACTGGTCTTCCCAGGTCTCTGCCTGCCCTCCCTCGCCTGCGCCGCCCTGCATTCCTTGCGTCGAGGGGCGGCAGCGCGCCGCTCCTCACTCCTCCTCGTTCCCTCCCACAGAGGCTCCGCTGCAGACTCTTCACCTGGACGTGTGGGGCCCAGCCCCCGTCCAGGGTCAGGGCCGACGAGAACACGCGTTACACCACGGTCTTCCCCTTGCGACGCAAGGCGGATGTCTCTGCTGTCCTAATCCCTTGGATCCGCGCTGTGCGTCTCCAGCTCCGCGAGCGGTTCGAGCGGGACTTTCCTGTCCTGCGTCTGCACTCTGACAGAGGTGGTGAGTTCTCCTCCGACCTCTTGCGAGCCTTCTGTGCGGAGCACGGCATCACCCAGTCGTTCACGCTTCCGGCCTCTCCGCAGCAGAATGGGGTTGCTGAGCGCCGCATTGGCTTAGTCATGGAGGTCGCTCGTACCTCCATGATCCATGCGGCGGCTCCCCATTTTCTGTGGCGGTACGCCGCGCATCAGCTCAACCTCTGGCCCCATGTCTCCTTACCGGAGACCTCGCCCACGCTGCTGTGGACGGGGGAGGTTGGCGATACGGCGCGTTTCAGGGTCTGGGGTGCTCGTGCCTTTGTCCGCGATCTCACCGCGGACAAGCTCTCTGCTCGCGCCATTCCCTGCGTCTTCCTTGGTTTTCCTCCTGACGCGCCTGGCTGGCAGTTTTACGACCCCACCTCGCGCCGTGTCTTTGCGTCTCAGGACGTCACCTTTGACGAGTCTGTTCCCTTCTACCGTCTCTTTCCCTACCGCACTGCCTCTCGCCCCCCCCCGCCGCTCTTTCTCGCTCCAGGTCCTCCCCGGTTAGACCCCCTCCCCGTGCCTTGTCCTGCTCCTTCCAGTGTTTCTCAGGTAGACCCTCCGGTACCTGCGCCTGTTGAGGTCACTGGTGACTCAGGTCCTGCTGGAGGTGGTCCTGCTCGGGGTGCTGTCTCTGGGGGTGCTGAGCCTGGGGGTGCGGAGCCTGAGCGAGAGGCGCCTGGAGGTGCTGAGCCTGGGGGTGCGGAGTCTGGGGATGCCGTGCCTGCGCGTGAGGAGCCTGGAGGTGCTGAGCTTGGGGGTGTCGAGTCTGAGGGTGCGGAGCCTGAGCGAGAGGAGCCTGGAGGTGCTGAGCCTGGGGGTGCGGAGTCTGGGGGTGCTGTGCCTGCGCGTGAGGAGCCTGGAGGTGCTGAGCTTGGGGTGCTGAGTCTGAGGGTACTGAGCTTACGCGTGAGGAGCCTGGAGGTACTGCGCCTGGAGGTTCTGGAGCTGTTGAGGGTGCTCGCGCTGGAGGTTCTGGAGCAGTTGGGGGTGCTGGCGCTGAGGGTTCTGAGTCTGCTGTTGCGCGGTCTCCTTGGAGTAGCCGCCTTCGTCCACGTGTGCCTCTCACCTCACAGCAGCTGCACGACTGGTACGGTCGCCGTCAGGGTCGCGCTGCTAGAGCCCGGGGCTCTACTGCTGGAGGTACTTCTGCTGACGTCCCTGGAGCTAGGAGTGGTGCTGGTACTTTGTCTACTGGAGGTGCTGGAGTCGCTGGTCCCGGAGGTGCTCGTACTGGAGGTACTGGAGCTGCTGGGGCTGGGGGTGCTGCGTCTGGAGGTGCTGCTGCTGGAGACACTGAGGCTGGAGACCCTGGGACAGGAGGTGCTGGTTCTGGGGGTGCTGCTGCTGGAGACACTGAGGTTGGAGACCCTGGGACTGGAGGTGTCGGTTCTGGGGCTGGAGCTTCTGGAGCTGCTGGAGCTGCTGGAGCTGCTGGAGGTACTGGAGCTGCTGGAGCTGCCGGTACTGGTGCAGCTGCGCCGACACGACTATTCTTCGCTCCGCCGTCTCCGTCGTCTCTGCCGCCGCCTGACTCTGTTCTTCGTCAGGTTCTTACTCTCCCGTCGTCTACTGGTCTTCCGTTACAGCCTGGCTCACCGCTGCCTGCTCCTTCTCCTTACACTGAGCAGACAGGTAGTCCTGCTGAGCGTCGTGAGCCTGCGTCGCGTCCTGTCTCGCCTGTTCGTCCTGGTCGTACCGGTCGTCATGTTCCTCGTTCGCGTCAGCCGGCTGTCCCCAGCGCACACCTCGTAGTCCGTCGTCCTTCCTCTGCTCTGCAGCCTGTTCCTCTGCTGTCTCCTCCTGCGTCCTCTCTGCCTGACGTTCCGGACCCTGAGTCTGACCGGTTTCGTGCTGAGCACCCTACTGTCACGCGTCTGCTAGCCACTGTTGTCACTGACCCGTCGTTTGA